GGCACGGTGGTCTCCGTAACTCCCCCTTGTCCTGCCTCGTTCTCACCAGCCTGGGCGGGGCAGGGAAACAGTGGTGAGCCCACCGGCGCAGCGAGTCAGAGACGAAGGGGCGGTAGCCGGCTGGGGGGGGGGAGTGGTGAGGAATGCGGCGTGTGGAAACGAGGCAGAGGAGAAGGAGGAAGGTGAGGACGAGGAGGATGATGAGGAGGTTCAATCACATCAAACATCAAGCGAACCAAGAAACAACCAACCTCACGGACCTGCAGCCTGGCCCGCGGGAGGAGCGTGACCCGCTCGATCAAGCGCTGAGCGAACAATCAACTCGGAAAGAGGGGCCCTGGATGAGCGCAGGCCGCGCCAGTCTGACTTGCCAAGAGCCGCCGTCGACCGAAGCCCGTCCCGCCTCCCCCCTCCCGACGGAGACTACCCCTGGTAGCTGCGAGCTGGGCCGCCGCATTTTTTCGTGCGACTTTGGCAGAGGCGCAGAGCAAGGGGAGGGGGCTCCCCCCCCTCCTCCCCATCTCCCAGGCCCGACCTGCACCGCAACTCGGTCGTCGCCAGGGTGGCGTCCAGCACAGACGCGCCCCCAAGAGGAAGCACGGCCCTGAGCCACTCCCCGGAGGCAAGGGACCTGCCCTCCGCTGGCGCCATGCCCGCAGCGGGCACACACAAGAACGAAAGCCGAGCCACCGGCATCGGAAAGGAGTACCCTGCGCCCCAGCTCCCGGAATCCGGAAGCGCCGAGCCCACGGATCCCGACCGCAGGACCTCCACGGCAGATGCCCAGGGATGGTTTGCCCGCGACCTGGAGCCACGAAGGCATCTCTCACACTGCCAGTACTTCCCGACCCACATCCAGGCGTGGTCGATCGTTGTATGATGATGCTGCTGATGATGATGATGGTGATGATGATGCTGATGATGCTGATGATGAGGATGAGGATGATGCTGATGATTAGGAGGAGGAGGAAGAGGAGGAGGAGGAAGAGGAGGAGAGGGATGATGGGGGAGGAAGAGGAGAAGGAGGAGGAGGAAGAAGAGGAGGTGAAGTAGCGTTCGGACCATCGGAGGTTGAGGAGACAAAGCAGTGTGGATAAGAGTGGTGGGGGAGGCGGAGGAGGAGGGGGAGGAGGAGGAGGAGGACGAACCAGAGCGTGCAATCCCACCCAGTACCACCTCTTCACTGCGGACCGCCCCCTTCGCGCCCCAGGGGCCCGAACAAGGGCCCCCGACGCCGAAATCGCAAAGAAGGCGCCCGCGGTGTACTGCTCTACGGAGCGGGGGGGAGCTGCGCAAAGAGCGCTGTTCCGGCCACCCGCTTGCTGACCTTTCTCGCCGGGAGGCGGGCGCGCGGTGGCGGGGGCAGCTGGGGACTCGAGCTCGTTGCGTTTGTTGTTCGTTTCCTCGATCTCGGCCATGTCCAGCCGCATCTTCTCCTCGGACTCCGTCCGCTCCTTCACCTGGCCCAGGAGCCATGTGCGCATCCCCCTCCTCCACCATCCTCCTGCTCCTCCGACTCCTCCTACTTCTGATCTTCCTCCTCCTCCTCCTCCTCCTCCTCCTCCTCCCTTCCATTTGTGTTCCTCCTCTTCCTCCTCCTCTTCATCATCACCATCATCATCATCATCATCAGCATCATCAGCATCACCACCACCATCACCGTCATCATCATCGTCATCATCATCATCATCAGCATCTTCATCATCCGCATCCTTAGCCTCATCCTCATTAGCATCACCATCAATATCACCACCACCATCACCATTAGAATCAGCAGTATCAGCACCACCACCATCATCATCATCAGCATCATCATCACCATCATCATCAGCATCACCACCATCATCATCATCATCATCATCATCACCACCACCACCACCATCGTCATCATCATCACCACCACTACATCCATCATCATCATCAACATCATCATCATCATCATCATCATCATCATCATCATCATCATCATCAGCAACATCATCATAATCATCATCCTCATCCACATCCTCGTCATCATGCTGTTGCTGCTCCTCAACCTCCTCCCCCCCTCAATCTCCTCCTCCTCATCCTTATCCCCCTCCCCGCTCTCCGTTTCCCGTTTCATCCACGCGCTCCTCTCGTAATTGTTCCTCCTTCCCGCCCTGATCCTCCCTTATCGTTCCCCCTTCTCCTCCTACTCCTTCTCCTCCTTCTCCTCCTCCTCCTTCTCCTCCTTCTCCTCCTCCTCCTCCTCCTCCTCCTCCTCTTCCTCCTCCTCCGCGTACTTGCCCTCCCCCCCCCCCTCCTCAGCGTAGTTGTCCCCCCTCTCCTCCTTCCCCTTCCTCCCGTTCCCCTTCTCCCCCATTCCTCCCCCACATCCTCTGGCGGCCCCCCCCCCACCCCGTCCATCCGTGCGCAACGTCGCAGTCCAGCCGAGGCAGCTGGCGCTCCAGAGAGCTCCGAGCGTGTCGATAGCACCATGGTGATCGGGTCCTCATGTTCCCCCCCCTCCTCATCGCTCCCGCTCCTCACCCAGGTCCCACTTCTGCTCCTTCGCCTGGTCCTCCTCCTCCTCCTCCTCCTCCTCCTCCTCCTCCTGCACATCCTCCTACACATCCTCCTACACAGCCTCCTGCTCCTTCTCCTCCTCATCCTCCTCCTCCCTATCCTTGTCGGCCTCCTCCTCATCGAACCTGCCTCGGTGTACTCATCCTCCCACCCTCCCTTTCCTCCCTTATCCTTCCTCCGTCTCCCTTCTCCTCCTCCCCCTCCCTCCTCCCTCACCCTCCCTCCTCCTCTATCTCATCCCCCCTCCCCCCCTCGCCAACTGACCCCTCGAACCTCTTTCCTCATGCTCCCCTGTAAGGATACGAAGTACCAGAACCGATGCCGTCTCCGAATATATCCCGTACTGTGTTCTGACCAGGGTGCCGTTGCACGCCTAGCCGTGTTAACGAGGGCCCACCTAAAGAGGCCTGACAAGGGCAGAGAGCGACGGAAAGGTATTGGTATCGGTATGGATTCTCCTCTGACCCCTCATCCGCCTCCTCTCCTGGAGCGCCGCGCCATCCCCTGAAGCATCAAAAGCTCACTGACCGACGGAATGCGTGTTTTCACATTCGAATACAACTGAGAACCCCTCACAATCCCTTGGCCGCTTGGCCGTCAAACAGTGCCTCCGCCTCCTGCTCTCCTGGATGCCGCGCGGATGGGGCCATTGCATATGGGGTCAGAGGGTCATGCAGCATCGCTGATGCATCGGCGAGATCGGGATGGAATAGATCGTGCGGATCGCGAACCATCGCCGATGCATCGGCGATGCAGCGACGATCCTCCGAGCCTGGACGATCTGGCCTGGATCTTTCCCGTAGCCGTGTGCAAAAAGCCTTCCTCCTCCTCCTCCTCCTCCTCCTCCTCCTCCTCCTCCTCCTCCCTAGGAGGGCCAGCCCACCTTGTCCTCGGGCAGCCCAGGGCAACTTGGCGACGGGACTACGGTCAGCTCGGTGCGGTGGACCTCAAAGGCGCTGCGGGAATGAAAGATCTGGGGGGAGAGGATTTCGAGCGTGCCCCGTGCTCTCAGACACGCTCTCGTGATTATATATATATATATATACACCGATCAGGGCGATAGGACTTTGTGGTGCAATTTTCGGGCTCACGGGTGCAAGTCAACGAACAACTCTGGAATGTATACACGATGTAAACAATCACAACGTGGGGTGTCTGTGTGTTACGCCACCTTCCGTCTCTCAGCCCTCCTCCTCTTCCCACTCTCTCCCACCCATCCTCCCTCCCTCCCTCCCAGTACACATACTGCTATTATGCCGCGTCCGACCGACCGATCCTCCTCCCTTCTCCAAAAGCGTCCTCGTCGAGGTCCTCAGCGGCTTCCACAGAGACGCCAACTGTCCATCTGCACCAAGCCTGGTCCCTCCCTGGCTGGCGGCTAGGCCAAGCTGGCGCGTCCCCTAATCTTGGCTCCAGGAGGCCGCCGGGGCCCACCTGGCCTTGTACGGCGGAGGACAATGACAAGGAGGAACGTTCGGAGTAGGAGGAGGAGGACAGCAGGGATGAGCACGAGAGCACAGACAAGGCAAAGAAGGACGAGGTTCTGCCCTTCCTTGGAACAACGTTCCTGGGCTGTGCAGACTACGCCGAAGAATCACGTCCCCTGCCCCCACTCCTCCTCCTCCTCCTCCTCCTCCTCCTCCTCCTCCTCCTCTCTCCTCCTCCTCCTCCTCCTCCTCCTCCTCCTCCTCCCCCTCCCCTCCCCCCTCCCCCTCCTCCTCCTCCTCCTCCTCCTCCTCCTCCTCCTCCTCCTCCTCCTCCTCCTCCTCCTCCTCCTCCTCCTCCTCCCCCGTCCAAAGAGTGAGGAGGGAGCGCAACCATCGGGCATGAATAACTCAGAACTCAGAAGTCTGCACGAGCCAGCGAGTCGGGGGATTGCATCGGGCGCCGCGACCGTTCTAGAGCGCTCTGGACGGCTCTGAGAACCGCATAGGGAACCACCCACGAATCGTTTCGCACGGTAAATTCCAGCCGTGACGACGCGAGCTCCACTTCCTGGCACCGCATGAGCCGCTCTTGGGGCCCCCGAGAGGCTGACAATCCCATCCTTCGCATGGTTGTCGCGCCGCGTGTCGTTCCCTGTGGGCCCCGAGGCCCCGGACGAACCGACAGACGGTGTTCATCATCGCACGCCCGCGCCAGCACAGCCGCCGCGCCGAAGCAGCGCGAGCCTTCCGCTGGAGAGGAAGCGGAGGAGGCTCGAGGGAGGGGGGAGGGGGGAGGAGGGGCGGGGAGAGAGGATGAGGATGAGGATGAGGATGAGGAGAAGGAGAGGAGGAGAGGAGAAGGAGGAGGAGGAGGAGAGGAGGAGGAGGAGGAGGAGGAGGTGGAGGAGGAGGATGAGAAGGAGGAGCAGCCTTCTTCCTCTTCTTGAGGGGGCCGCCGCCCCCCAGCAGGTCGCTCAGGGTGCTGGAAGACTCCCGCTTGAGCTCCCCGGCCAGCGGGCTTCCGTCCTGGGTGCGAGGCGGGATCGGCCCCCTCTTCGGCTCCTGCTGCGCGTGGTCATCGGTCTGCTCCTCATCGTCTTCCTCCTCCTCCTCGCCCTCCTTGTCCTCGTCAATCGTGCTGTCCTAGCTCTGGTTCTTCAACTCCTCCACCACCTGCTTCTCCTCCTGCACCCCACGCTTCGTCGTCGTCGTCGTGGTCGTCGTCGTAGTCCTCCTGCTTCCCCTCCTACTCCACATCCCCCGTCAAAACATTCGCATTGACATCCTTGTCCACATTCTCCCCTTCCTGCTGATGATGATCCTCCGCCATCCTCCCTCCTCCTCCTCCTCCTCCTCCTCCTCCTCCTCCTCCTCCTCCTCTTGCTCCTCTTGCTCCTCTTCCTTCCCTATACCTCCAGCGCGTCCTCCGTCCTCTCAATAGCAAGGGGACACCCAAGCTCGGGGAAGAGGAAAACATAAACACACGGCGGCACACGACGAACACATACACACACACACACACGCAAAACACACAACACGTTATGTAGATGTATACGCTTACACACACATACGCGCTTGGGGGCTCTGGCAAATCTTGGGCAGATGTATCACTCGCAAACGCTTGCAGTGGTCGCGCTCGTCCCGGCACTCAGGAAGAACACGATTCAGAGGCTTCGCGCCAACATGTTGTGCAGAATGTATGGGATCCGGATCCCTCCAATCGTGCGTCCGTTGTCCGTTGAGCCCCCCCCCCCCGCCAGATGTTCCCGAAAGGCTCTCTGGGAACATCTGGGTTACGACGAGGGCGAGGTACGAAAGGATGAGCAGCCGCTACCCTGAAGCTGCACCGAGGATTTCGTGAAAAATAAACCGTTTCCTGGCGGTCTCTGGGAGGCCTCAAAGGGGCATGGAAAAAGCGTCTCGGGTGTCCGTGGGGCGCCTCGGGGACTCCTGGAAGGCCTTGGGACTATCTCCGATGCTTCTCGACTTGAGGCCTGCGCGTCGCTTCCTGGGAGTCGCCCGGCTCTCATGAATAAAAACGCTTAGCGAGCACCGTGAGCGGACGGTCGACGAAGATAGCAACCAAGTCGATGATACTCTGGATGGGTGGAGGCGAGTGAAATGGAAACCTTGGAGAAAACGTGAATGATAATGTCGAAGCCGCCCTTACTACCGGCTCGGGACTGCAACCCTGTTTCCGATTAGTTTCCATACGCATCTACGGAACGCTTTGCGGAATGGGACCTGGCCTGGCGGTCGGAAGGTTTCCAGAACCCTCTCCGGGAACATCTGGACTTTCTTTCAGCTTCATACTCAGGTACGCAGCGAGCATATCCCACTGTTACCAGTGATGTCCGACAGTGGTTCGCCAGAGGGGCCGACTATGACGCTTTGCGCGCTAGCTTTGGTACCGCACATACCGCTTAAACGCAGGCCTCTCTGGGACTTGTAGACACACCTGGAACTGACACCATCGAGGTCATGTCTCTTGGTGCAGTACCCAATGTTCGCGCCGTCGACGCCACGAACCCTCGAAGCGCACACAATATACGAGCGTTGGAGGCCAAGGCTGCCCCATGACGTTCGCAGAGGCCCCCCAGACGGCTGAAGACGGCCGAAGAAGGTATCGGCGTAAATGTACAAACTAGAACGACCCGCGCTGGGGTTCTAGCAAACAACAGCCCTTGATCAATTCATAGCGGGCGTTCCTTCGGCCGTTGGCACTCGTTGGGCGCCTGGAGCTTATCCGGACAACCTCGTGCCCCACTATTGGTGCTCCAACGGGCGCTCCAAACTAGCTCAGAGTTCTCGGTTCGCGGGGTACGCCTCCCGAGCACGTGGGATCTGGACGTTGCGACCGTCGCTGATGGCTGGAGGAAATGGGAAAACATGAAGTATGTGAGAGCCTCTTGGGATTTGCTGCGGTGCTGCTTGGGGGACTCGTGGCTGGGTGAGCGCCTCTGTGGAGCCTGTTGAAACCTTCTGGGGGCCTCCACGGGGCTTCTGGGAGCCCCTTTGAAGCCTCTACCGGCGCATCTTATGGCATCTTCGGGGTCTTGGGGGCAAATTTGGGGAGGGGTCTCCTGGGCCTCGAACTTCCCTATCTTGGAAGCATATGAGGGCCATCATTGTTACCACCACCACCACCATCACCGTCACCACCATCATCATCATCACCACAACCACCATCACCACCACCATCATCACAATCATCATCACCATCACCATCACCATTACCACCTCCACCACCAGCACCAGCACAATCGCCATCGCCTCCATTATCATCATCTCCATCATCATCATCATCACCATCATCATCAGCATCATCATCAGCACCATCATCATCAGCAGCAGCATCATCATCGCCTTCGCCATCGCCATCAGCACCATCAGCATCAGCATCGGCATCAACATCAGCATGAGCATCAACATCGTCAGCTTTATCAAAATCACCATCGCCATCGCCATCACCATCATCGTCATCACCATCAGCACCACCCGCATCACCATCATCATCACCACCATCATCAGCATCATCAGCATCGCCATCAACATCAACAGCATCATCAGCATCATCGTCGGCATCATCATCACCATCGCCATCACCATCACCATCATCGCCATCGCCATCATCATCATCATCATCATCATCAGCGTCGTCGCTAGCGTCAGCATCAGCATCAGCATCAGCATCAGCATCAGCATCAGCGTCAGCATCATCATCATCCTCATCATCGTCATCGTCGTATTCATCATCATCATCACCACCATCATCATCAGCATCATCATCATCACCACCATCATCATCATCATCATCATCATCATCATCATCAGCATCATCATCATCATCATCATCGTCATCATCATCATCATCATCATCATCATCATCATCATCATCATCATCGTGTATCCTGGGAGGGCTTCTCAGGAGCCCCTAAAAATATTATGGGGGCTTCTGGGGGCCTATTGAAGGCATCTTGGGGGCGGTTTGGGGGGCCTCTGGGAAGCCTCCTTTGAGGGCTGGCCTGTGGTCTCGGCCTCTTGGGGTCCACCTCTGGGGTGTACCTTGGGCCATCTTGGGGCCGTCTTGGGGGGACTACGGGGCCGTCTTGGGGCGATGTTGAGGGCCTCTTGATTCGTATTGGGCGGTCGAACGCGAAACGAAGAAGGAACGATTCAATCCTTCAAAGACCAGCGCACATCATTGGATGTGGCATAATGGTGCGCTCTAGGGAGTCCGCTTGGGGCCTTCTGGGGGCGTCTGAAGCGCCTCTGGGGCTGTTTGGGGAAGTTTGCACAGTGTCTTGAACACGACTTGGCGGTCTCGGGGTCTTTTGGGCGCCGTCTTCGTCTTGAGACGCCCTCAACAGCCTCAGTGACGCATCGGGGGGGGGGGCAAGAAACCCCCACAACGGGCCGAACACGGGCCGCGGACCCAAGGGGGGAAAATTCTGTTACCGAGTGGATGTGCCAATTTGCCATTGTGCCCTGGGTTGGTGTAGTCGGGGGGGGGGCAAGAATTCAACGTTCTTATATCCGCCGAACCCGTTGCGGGGCCACCAGGCTGCGAGGATGAGGATTGCAGCTCCCTGTTCCAGTTGCAGCTTCCAGTTTCCACTGTTACAGGCCTGCTTTCTGCTTACTTACTGTTTATTGCTGCTGAACGCGCGAGGGGGGAGGCCCCGAACCAGTTTTTTCATCACGCCCAGGCCGCGCTGTCTGATCTGAATGTCTCAGGGGGCCTGGGGCATGTAAAAATACACGATGCTCGCGCCCCCGAGGCCATAATCCTTAGTAAATTATGCCATATCCGCCTCCCCGAAACAACAATTCCTTGTAACTTATACCATATTCGCGCCCCCGAAGCAAATCCCTAATAAATTACACCAGATTCGCGCCCCCGAAACCATAAACGCACGTAAATTACAAAGTGTTTGCGCCCCCGACGCCATACACCTTCGAACATTACTCAATCGTCGCGTCCCCAGGGCCATAAACCCTTGTAAATTACAGCGCGCTTACGTCTCCGAGGCCGCAAACTCTTGCAACTTACATTATACTCGCGTCCCCCAAGCCATACACCTTTGTACATTATATCATATATGCGCCACCGAGACCAGAAACCCTCTTGTACATTACACACTAGTTCAATGCCTGGAGGCCACACAGTTTTGTAATTTACACAAGGTTCGCGTCCCCGAAACTACCAACCATCGTAATGTACATAATACTTGCGCCACCGAAGCCGTAAACCCTTGTAAATCGCCTGTCGCCCCGACATTGCTTCACGTCAGCGCCCAGGCATCCCAACACAGTTCTGGAAAGTCCCATTCTAAGAGAGGGGGGCCGGCGGCATGGGGGCGAAGCCCTTACGGATACACACACACACACATATATATATATATGTACACACATATATATACATATATATAAACACTTACGCGCACACATACGTATATATATATATATATACACATACATACGCACAGACACGCAGACAGGCACACTTGTCATTACATATGTCAATATATATATGTACAGGCATACATAGATGTGTATATATGTAAGCATTCACATGTCTTCATGTGCATACGTGTGTATATATATATATATATACGCAACCGACCCCTGGGACAAACTTCGAGCATCCTCGGGTCATTGTTCAATCCCCTGGAGCCTCCGTCTTCCATCGTGAGGATTCTTCAGAAATCGCGTGTCCTCGGGGGCCCGCCGCGGCTTGTCGCATGACGTGTTCAAGCCCAAGAAGGCCCTTAGGCGAGCCAAGAAGGCCCCAAGGGGCCCCCAAAACGGTCCAAGAGGACCCCGGATCGCCAAACCAACAATCCAAGACGCCCATGATGGCTTCCAATCGGCAGAAACAACACCCAAGAAGTCCCAAGAAGCCTCCAAGAGCCTTCCAAGCAGGCCCCGATAGATCCTTCATCGGTGTTCAATGTTTATGGGGTTCTCCAATTTGCCAGTGTCCGACGACCCAGGACGTCCCAAACGGCCCCACAAGACCGCGC